GCTAATACCAGCTTGCATTATAACCAGTCACATAGACTTGGAGATATTAAGCACTTTTACATCCAAGTTTCTCTGAATTAAACTTTTCTCTGAATTAAAAATAGCCAAGAAAAGTGGGTTAGTAGAACCAGGCTTTTCTGCAAATACACTGCAGACTTTAAAGATACTGTTCAAAATTAGCAGGAATTTGGATTACTCTAGTATTTGGTATACTCTAGTATCTGGAATTTGGTGAAGTTTCTCCTCTACATTCCAAGGTAGAGGAAATTTTCAAGAAAATTACTATTTCCAAAGAAAAAGTATTTCCAAGAAAATACTTACTGGGTTAGAAATAATACAGATCATGGCTTCTGGACAGTGCTTTGCACAGGCAGTTGTCAAAGAGGCAACAATGCTGGCATTCGTGTTGAACAGGTCATCACGGGTCATACCTAAAACACAGCCAGGGCAGGATTTTAAGTTACCATCACAGGCAGGAAATGCAATCAAAATCCAATATTCTGCTCTGGACAGACACACATCAGCTTCTGGTTTCACAGATCAAGAACAAATTTTCCAGTTGCATTGAGGAATTGGCACCACAGGTAACTCCTCTCACTAATGAAGAGATCAGCCTTTTCCAGGAGCAACCACTGTCCCCTGTCAGAACCCACCTCACTGAGGCTGCCTGAAGTACACTGTGACCACACAACCCACACCAGTGCTGCTCAGAGCAGCACACTGCTCCCAAGATTAATCCTCCTCCCTCTTTTAAGCCACTTCCACAACTACAGTTTAATTGACAACTGCTGTGTGTAAAATATTGCTGGTTGGGTAAGTGCCACCCCCCACTGCTATTGCAGCAACTACTTTAACCATGAAAAATGAAGATTTAGGAAGAGCTAGGCATTAAAGTCTAGAATTTTGTTATGTTCCTAATAAGATACTAGAAAATAGAAATAGAGGAGGTCAGAAACATTCTAAAAAGATTTAACAGCATTTATTCAGAGATGCCCCAACTGTACACAAAACAAAATGGATTATTTCTCTTCTGCTGAGAAATTAAACAAAGAACCAGTTTTTATTCCTCAAGCATTGCTCTGGGACAAGAAACACTAAAGGAGATTTAGGATCACTTGCATGAAAAGCCTTTGCAGCTCAGGGCCAAGTAGGAACTCCAGAAATCAATTTAGCCCATTTCAAAAGGGAGAGTGTAAGAGAGGCTGAATGAGCTGCCTGATACCACAGGGAGCTCTGGGCAGGAGCATGACCAGAGCCCTTACACCCCAACAGACACAGCTCTGAGCACAACTGCAGAGATCCACTTCCAAGCAGCCCTGGGGCTTTCCAACAAAGAGAGCCTACCTGGTTTTCTTGGGACTCCTGCTGGAATAACAACAACATCACAGCCCTTCAGACATTCTGGCAACTGCTCAGGTCCCATGAAGCCTGAAATGGAAGACATTCAGGCATTATGTTTTTGACAGTTACTAAACAGCTGACACTTTGAAGTATAAATCATGCCCAGAGGCATCCAAGTCTTTTTCTTTAAATTTAACCTTCAATTTAGACTTGATGCTGAAAAGCAAAGAAACACAATTATGGATAGATCCCATTTGATGTTTTATCCTTGTTTTAAAACTTACAGAATGAGAGTGGTGAGAATCTCACCTTCACCTGTTTCCAAACTCTCAGTTCCTCCTGCTATGTGTATTTACTCTCCAAAAGCCTTGGCACTAGAGTCAGTGCCCCCAGAGAACTGCAGACTGGCACATTCATGTAAAATGTCACCTTTTGGTGATCTTCAGATAAAAGATGAGCAGATTAAGTTTTGATTTCATCTAAGAGAAAATAAGCACATGGAATTCACCCAGAGAATGGTAAACCTATTTCTAGTCAAACTTTTAAATTCAACACTCTGAGATAATTCCACTGAATGTTTCCTGCCAGATGTCACAAATTTCCCTTCAACAGTGCAACCACAGCCCATACTATCTCCATACACGTCAATCTAATCAGCTAAACCTTAATTAATCATTCACTGCTTGAGGAAAAAACTATTTAAATTGATCCTGGGCTTCAGGATCAGTGGGTGAAGATCTCCCCTCCCAAGCAATGGGCACTGAGGGTCAGAGGCCCCCCTGTGGGAGGATCCCTTTGGCAGCGAGGCATTCCCAGGTACCTTTGACATTGGCTTTGGTCTCGATGTGGCTGAGGTCGGCTGCCACGCCTGGAGTGTGGGCGATGTCGTAGAGGCTGAGCTTGCTCACCAGGGGGCTGTTCTTGAGCAGCAGCGACAGGGGCTGCCCGATGCCCCCCGAGGCCCCCAGCACGGCCACCTTGGCATTGCTCTGTGCAAAACAGACAGCAAACACGTTGGAGAGCTGTTCTGGCAGTCACCCCCTCCCAACAGTGACCTTTCACCACTCTTTCTTTACTTTCAGTACTGTTTCTCATTTTTTTACCAAGCACTGTGTAAACTTGATAGTTTAAGCCTACAGAAAATGACCCTCACAGCAACCTCCCAAAGGTTATTGGTAGGATAGTAAGTTGGAAAAAATAGTTACCTGTGATCTGAAACTCAAAAGGGAAGCAAGGCTAGGGCAAAGGAACCCAAGGGATCACCCTTCTCCCAACAGAAATGCCTGCCTGAGACTAATATCTGCCACGCTGTGGGCCCAGGCCTGATTTAGGGCAAATCTGGTTTGTAGCTTTTCTACTTTATGTTGCCAGTATAAAAAAAATATGCTTTCCATTTGGCAAATCAATACATGTAATGGACTACAAGAAATGTAATAACCACTGCATATATGTGAAGAACATGTTTAGACCTGATATAAATCCAAAATAGCATCTGCAGATTCAGGACTGAGAACATTAAGTGACTACAATTTCCAGCTTTGATCACGTGGCTGAGAATCAAGTAAAATCAACTCTGCTTGGCTGCCCTGTGGACCAATTTTATCCTCACTCAGCTACTGACTGGCAGGGTGTAATTTCTCTCACAAATGCCTGTTTGCAAAGTGTTGCTCCAAAAGAGAAAAGCTCCTTCCAGGGGCCAGAACAACCTTAAAATGCAACACTGTAAAAAAAAAAAAAAAAAGCTTTATATATTTCTAGTTTATTTTGCCAGTATAAAAAAACATGCTTTCCATTTGGCAAATCAATACATGTAATGGACTACAAGAAATGTAATAACCACTGCATATATGTGAAGAACATGTTTAGACCTGATATAAATCCAAAATAGCATCTGCAGATTCAGGACTGAGAACATTAAGTGACTACAATTTCCAGCTTTGATCACGTGGCTGAGAATCAAGTAAAATCAACTCTGCTTGGCTGCCCTGTGGACCAATTTTATCCTCACTCAGCTACTGACTGGCAGGGTGTAATTTCTCTCACAAATGCCTGTTTGCAAAGTGTTGCTCCAAAAGAGAAAAGCTCCTTCCAGGGGCCAGAACAACCTTAAAATACAACACTGTGATGGAAAACTCCTGTGGAGATGTAATGAGCAATTACTGCTGAGAATGCCATTCTTTATCACAATCTTTCAGATAAAAACAGTAATAGCTCCACATGCCTTCATGAACAGCTTAATCACTGTGCTATGATGGGAAATAATCTACCCAAGAACTGGACCAGATAAACCTCAGTTTTCTGAGTTTTCTGATAAGCCTGGTTCTCTTGCTATTGTAACAAACTGAATTTTGCATGAAACTCTTTAAGAGGAAGCAAAGTCTGGCATGAGTCACTGCTGAGCCCATTTGTGACCGAGCTGACACCACGGGGTCAAAATCTCACCGCTAATAAATATAGTTTCCATGAAAAGACTTAGAGAAGGCTCTCCTATACAACACCTATTTACAGCTGCAACAATCAGTCTTTTACATCCCACCGGGCCTATTAACACTGGACAGAGGTCGGTCTCTACCCCTGCAGCCACAGCAGAGTGGTTGGAGCCAGCACAGTGGATTTTGGCACACGAAGGATTACTGCTAAACCAACCACCGGCTTTAGTTCTTAACACCTCCAGAACGCAGGGGCATTTTTGCACTCGAGGGAGGAAGCAGCAGACCCATCACCCTCTGAGAGAGGGAGCTCATACCGCATTATCACACCCGCAGCCTGGCTGGAGCAGGGTGGGAGCTGCCGGGCCGAGACCCCCGAGGCACCGGCACACGCTCCCAGCCCCTCTCCGAGGAGTTCCAGGCTACACCCGAGCCCTGCAGCTCCACAGTCCCCTCACTGAGGCCCCGGGCTCCTTCCCGGCCCCGCAGCATCTCAGCGAGGGTATGGGGCCCTCCCCGGGCTCCCTCGATCCCCGCAGCTCCGCTCCGAGGAGGGGTCCGGGCCCCACCCGAGCCCCGCAGCCCCTCACCAAGGTCCGGGCCCCACCCGAGCCCCGCAGCCCCTCACCAAGGAGGGGTCCGGGCTCCACCCGAGCCCCGCAGCCCCTCACCAAGGACGGGTCCGGGCTCCACCCGAGCCCCGCTCCGAGGAGGGCTCAGGGCTCCACAGCCGAGGAGCACCGGGGCTGCCTCCCGACCCCGCAGCCCCCACCGAGGGCCTGCGTTCCACCCGAGCCTCGCAGCCCCGGAGGAGGAACTACGTCCAACGCCGGCCCTGCAGGCCCAGAACGGAGAACAAGCAGGCCTGCATCGCCGCCCTGCACCCCTTCACCGGGCAGCGCCTGTGCTCCACAGCCCCCTCACCGAGCAGCACCGGGGCTCCTCCCCGGCTTGCCCCCGAGCTCCGCAGCAGCCCCAGAACGGAGGAGGGCGCGGGGGGCGGCGCGGGGCCGTACCTGTGCGGAGGTGGCGATGCCGCGGCGCAGGGCGGTGGCGGCGCTCAGGCGGGACAGCATGGCGGGCACGGCGGGCGCGAGCGGCGGCTGCGGCGCGAGCGAGCGGTGACTCCAACGACCTCCAGGGCCCGCGCGGCGCCTGCGCGGCCCCGCCCGCCGCTCTCGCGAGACTGCCGCCTGCGGAGGGAAGGGAGGGGGGGAAGTCTCGCGAGAGCCCGCCTGAGGTAACCTTGGAGACCGGCGGGCGTCGCTCCCGCGGCCGGGCCGGAGGGGCAGCGTGGTGTCGCGATAGTCGGCGACAGCCGGGCGGGAGGGGGATGGCGGGGGTGATGTTCTGCGAGCCCCGACACCTCTACAACATCATCAACCAGTACCGGTGGAGATCGCGGCTGACGGAGCCCAACTACCTGTGCCTGCTGGGTGAGGCCGCGGCACAGGCCTGACACTGCCCCTGCCTGTCCCTGTCCCTGTCCCTGCCTGTCCCTGTCCCTGCCTGTCCCTGTCCCTGTCCCTGTCCCTGCCTGTCCCTGTCCCTGTCCCTGTCCCTGTCCCTGTCCCTGTCCCTGTCCCTGTCCCTGCCTGCCCCTTTCCCTATCCCTGCCTAGCCTTGTCCCTCCCCCTGCTTGCCGCTTCCCCTGCCTGCCCCTGCTGCTGCTGCTGCCCCTTCCTTTGCCTATCCCCGTCCCTCCCTCCTGCCTGTGCATGCCCCTCCCTGTCCCTACCTGTCTCTGCCCTGCCTGCTCCTTCCCTGCCTGCTTCTTCTGCCCCTGCTTGTCCCTGCCTGTCCCTGCCTGTCCCTGTCCCTGCCTGTCCCTGTCCCTGCCTGTCCCAGTCCCTGCCTATCCCTGTCCCTTCCTGTCCCTGCCTGTCCCTGTCCCTGCCTGTCCCTGCTTATCCCTGTCCCTGCCTGTCCCTGCTTATCCCTCTCCCTGCCTGTCCCTGCCTGTCCCTGTCCCTGCCTGTCCCTGTCCCTGCCAGCAGCCAGGCACTGTGCTCAGCCCAGGCAGATATCCTGAGCCAACAGGGCTTGTGAGGAAAAGCACACATGTCACTTCTCACCATTTCTGGGGCCTGGCACTCGGGACCTTCCTCCCATCCCATTTCAGGTGCTGCTTTGGCTTTCCCCGTGCTCAGCTCTGCCTGCTCCCATCAGTCCCACGGATTCACACTCTCCCCTGCTGCTCCCAGAGGTTTTAGAACTGGACTAGATTTCTCAACCATTACACAAAGATTCCTGATAACCACTTCCATTCTGCATAGTGCCAATACCCCCAGAAGGGTGACAATGATATTGCAATATCATTAAATGTTTTGGTGAGGGAGTTAGCCAGTTTGGGAGTGGGGTTGGGGTCTTTGCAGTGCCCCTCTCCCCAGCTCTGGAGCAGCAGAGGCAGAGCAGGCACAGAGCACGGGACTGAGGCTGGGAATGCTGCAGGAGCACACTTGGGTCAGGACTAACAGTGCTGGTTATCTCTTGCTGTTACACACAGACTCACATCAGCCCTGGAGCTTGTTATACCCACACCAGAAAGCCTCAGTTTCTAAAAAAACCCAATCATAGAATCATCAAAGCTGGAAAAGACCTTCAAGTTCATCCAGTCCAACAGCTGACCCTGCAACACTAAAACCACCCCTAAAGCATATCCCCAAGTGCCACATTTCCAAACATCTTTCTCTGGGTGACGCCTGAATTCCCACTGACAAAATACAAAGAGGATTCCACCTTCCACCAGAGCAGAGCCACCTCTGTTTGTCTGAGCTTTAAAAGCCAATTGCTCTGCCTTGCTTGGTTTTTTTTTCAGATGCCCGTTCTCAGCTTGAATTCGATGACAGCCACATTGTTACGGCCCAAAGGATCGAACTGGTGAGGGGATTGCTGTTTGTGTGAACCCCCCCTGGATTTAGCAGTGAGCAGGAAGGGTTTGAAACCCACGGGAATTGTCCCAGCCCCTGCCCTGCCTCGGCCGTGCCACTGGGGGGATGTATTCTGTCACAAAGCGAAGGTGGCTCCTGCTGCCCGAAGGATTGCCACACCGCAGCTGAATATCAGGGAAAACATTGCACAAGAGCTCGCGCAGCGCAGCCTTGCCCCACAAGGACAGCGCTGGCGCCCGCACGCTGCTGCCGGTGGAGCAATCAGCGGGATTTGCATCACTCCTGACTCCTCACCGGGGCTGCCACTGCCCTGTGCACCCACACCTACAAACCCAACACGCAGCTGCAGAGCTGTAGCTTGCAAGATGTCAGGAGTGTGGATGGCACCAGAGAAGAGTGGAGCCGTGCTCCTGATGGAATTGCTCTGTGATTTTGGCAGAGTCCTGCCGGGGAGTATGTGATCCCAAATCCCGAGGAGCTGGGCTATGTCAGATTCTGTGTGGTGTATGACCACGACACTGGCTTTTTGGGTTCCACTGACTATCAGGAGGAGGAGGAGGAGGAAGAGGAAGAAACAGGTACGTGTGACCCGTGTCAGAACAGTCCTCACTGCTGGATAGAGATTCTTCCCATTCCTCATTTAATTTTATGAGCTTGTTAGAAGAGATGTAAATGTTCCCAGTTTATCTTAGAGGTCTCTTCCAAACTCATTATTCTGTGATTCTGTATGTGAAAAACTCTGCTCTGCCTCTGTTTTGCACTGTGTTGTGTATATTCTCAAGCTTCAAAAATCCAGGTTTTATTTCAAAGCATCCTGGCAGCCCTGGTTTCCCATCTGTGGGTGATCCTCTGAAGCTCCTTGTTGCATGTGAGGAATGGGTTCTTTTCTTTTTTTTTTTCTTTTGCCACATTTCCCTGAGATTTGGCCTGTCCAACAATTGCCTTTCAGGGAGCAGCACTGCTTCAGAGACTGAAACCAGCAGCTCAGATTCCACATGTTCCCAGAGTGAGTACTTCCTTCTTTGAGGGTCACAAAAGGCTTTCACTTCACGATATTTTAAAAGATTTACCTTTAATGGGGGTGGTGATTTGATGGGGTTCACCAAGAAATGTGAAGTGCTGGAATCTTTTCCATGGCATTGTTCAGTTTTCCTTGAACCACGGAAGTGTTTGGCTTTCACACATCCTTTGGCAAGGATTCTGCTGTGAGCAGAACCACTTCTGTTTGTTTGAGCTTTACAAAGGCTACAGAGTTTTAGCAAAGATTTACATCACTTTTTAAAGAAAAACATAGTGGAGGTGTAAGGGGAATGAATAAAACAAGCATGTTCCTAAATGCTCAGGGGTGAGGCAGTGGAGGGAAGGTGTGGAGAATCAGAGCTGGGTTTCTATTGTGCTGATCTATTTCTAAAGCAGACATAGCTAGAGGGAAGCAGGATGGATTCCTTGGGAGGAGGAGGAGGAGGAGGAAGAGCAGCCATCTCACATAATCCACTTCACTGAGGGGGGTGTTTAAAACATTTCTGAAGAATTTAATTAAGACACTTCCTTTTTTTCCGTTTGCCTAAAGCAGACTAAAGAAAGGGGCCTCCATAAAACTAAGATTATTAAATTTAAATTGATAAAATTTCCCTATTATGGAAACTTCTTACAAGCATTTCCCAAAGAAAAACGGGGAGAGGAAAAGAAATGTGTTCCTAGAAAAGAAACCAGGAGAGGAATAAAAGATCAGGATGAGAGGGGAAAAGCAGCACCCCCTGTAACTGTCCTGCAGCAACAAATAAAGAATAAGTTGAGCTTTTAACAAAGTTTTCTCCAGAGCATTAGATGGAATGAAAAGGGATTTGCTGTGGATGTCAGGAGATGGAGACACGGAAGCTGCCCAGGCAAAGAGCTCTTTGGTCTCTTTAGGTGCTGAGGAAGGAGATGCCCTCCTCCATGCCAGAAACCTGGAGCACTTCACCCGCCACCCCGTGCTCCTCCTGAAGGGAGGGTACAGGCGTTTTTCAGCTTGTTACCATTTCCTGAAGAGCCACAAGACACTGTGGATGCCTCAGGTGAGATGAGACTGATTTCCAAGTAGATGACACTAATATTCAGCTGGTGATGGCTGGTGAATTCAGGTTAGATGGTGTTGCAAACCTGGTATCACAGTAATTTCAGACAAAGGAATTGGATGTAATTTGAGTTACTGTGCTTGCTCTGAGTCTCACCACTGATTCTTTTACAGCCACACTTCTTCCTCTTCTATTGCATGAAAGGAAGTTCATGAAAACAAGCTGGGAATGTTCCCCTGATAACCCCAAAACTGGCCTATGGAGAGTGCAGATAACTGAACAAACAGTAGCAAGTGATGACAGCAAGCAGGCTGCTCTCTCACACGTGGTTATCTGGCATAGTACACAGCAAATGTTTTCAAACAGAAGTACAATTCCTACCAAGCACCGTGATCCATGTCTTTTCATCAGGAAGGGTCACAAGTGCCTTCTTTCAATAGGCCCAGGAAGAAAACAGCCATCCACTCAAACACTGTGTCCTGCTTGCTTGGTTTCACCTATAAACATCAATCTATTTACCTTATGAGAAACAATTACCCTTCATTGCACATTTAGGACAGGCAGGGCAGGTTAAAAAGGTGCTGGACAACAGAGCTTTTCATCCCAAGGTGTATTTTGTTCCCATTGTTCCCTTCTGGTTCCCAGGAAATAGCCCATGGACACGGTGGATGCTACAGCACAGGAGAGAAAATCGATTCACTTTGTGCTGCCCTGTGAAGGGCAATTCACTGCTGAGCTTCCTGCTCAGACTCAGCTGGACACAAGGCACCTCCTTGCCTCTCAGCTGAAGCTTTAAATTGTTGGACTCCTCCTTTGTGCTCCTGGAGCAGTATCCGAGGCACGTCCCCTTAGGGATGTGAGCACTGGTGGCTGCTTGTGTGTTTTCCTCCTGAGCCTCCACGCTGCCGGGTGCAGCTGTGGATTTGTGCTGTGCCACTCCAGGGCACCTGCAGCTCTGCAGGTGGCAGATGTTTTCATTTATCCTTGCAAACAGCAACCAGGGAGAACATCAAACGAATCTGTCGTGCTGCAGCCCCTCCAGACAATGGAAAGAATGTATTCCACCTCCTGTTTAGTTGGGATTTGCTTCAAGTAATGCCACAACAAGAGTGAGGCTGCTAATTATTCTCAGTAAAACTAGCAAAGACTTCAAAATACAGCAAATCCAGGTGATTGAATGAATCATTACACTAAAATATGTCATGGGCTGCTGACTAAGTGCCTGTTCAACTCTTCACATGACTTCTGTTTAAGAACTTATCGAGCTGATGGGAGCAGAGACACTCTAACCTGAGCCTCTGGTTTCTTTCTGGCAGGAACTAGACACCTTCCAGCCATACCCTGTAGAAATACTGCCTGCAAAGCTATATATGGGCAATTTCAAGCAGGCCAGTGACAAACAAATTCAGAAAGATCTGAGGATCAAAGCACTGGTCAACGTCTCTGAACAGCCTGTAACACTGTAAGTTAAACAGTTCAAGGCTTACCCTCACCAGTGTCTGTGATGTGAAAAAATGAGGTGACACAGAGTTTATTGGCAGAGGAGTCAGTGCCTGTGGCATTCCAAGGAAACCTCTGCAGATTCCAGTGCCACTTCATGCTGTTTTCTAATTTCTGCTCTAGAGTTAGCACAACAGCAACACAGTCCTGCAGCCCTTGACCATGCCACGGGTGAACTGGGTAAGAGGAGCACTGGGAAGTCCTTGGTATTTCAAGTCTATCACATACCACCACTCTTCAGGAAAAACCTGTATCTCTAAATAGCTTTCAGAGCAAAATCTTACCAACACATCTGTGTAAAAGCTAAGTCAGCAATATGTCACATTTTTGGTCTTCCTTCCTTACCTGCTCTGTCCATGACCAGACAGCCCACTGCAGGCCTTGCTGGAAATGCAGTTTCAGACAGTGAAAAACCCAGTGGCATTTCTCAAGGTGCTGACCCAAACCAAGTAACAACTCCAGTTACCCACCCCAGGACATGTGCACCAGCAGACATTTCTCATGCCTTTGGCTCTCTGCAGAGGAATGTCTCTGCACTGTGGGTAATATTCCTGTGTCCTCTGCATGATGTGCTTCCACATTTTGGAAATTCCTCACCAATTTTTTGCCCCATGAGTTCTCTGAGCCTGTGAAAGGAGGAGATGCACAGAAAACCACATGAAGGGAACTGGGGGGCCCACAAAACAGCAAACACGCACTCTGTGAAAGCACATCTGCTTTCAGTTCATCTGTTTTCATTTATCTCTCTGTAGGTTATCTGTCTGTAGGTTAAGGCATCAATACTGATACCATTGAAATGGAAAATCAGTGATTAAAATGGTTCTACAAACACCTCTGTGCCTCACCATAATAAATCCCTTATCATGTTAAAGATGACAATGATTAAAAACTCACAAATGTAACAGCAAACAAAATTATCACCTTGACTCCAACAAACACATCTTGCCAAGGCTGCTCCTCTGCTCCATGTGGTCTGTGTGCTCTTTTCCAGGTTTGCAGAAGAAGGTAAATCCCTCCATATATCGGTTCCAGATTCACTCGAAGCAGATCTTTTTTCTTCCTTCACCACCATTTCTCATTTCATAGGTGAGTGGATCCTGATCTGGAATTCCTGAGCCCTTGCTCACTGTAGGATATTAGATGGGAGTGACAGGAAGCCCAGACAGGAGGAGAAGCAAGCCCACACCCTGATGGATACCAGAGCTGCCTCACTAACCAGCCTGATGGACAGAGAGGAGATTTTACAGGGCATCTGACTCTGCTGTCCCTGCTCACTTCAAAGGATACCTCACTCTGATAACAGGGAGCTTTCCACCCAAATCTTTGCAGCAGGGAATCTACCAGGGCTTCATAGGATTCCCTCTTACTCCTTTGACTCTCAGCAGCCCAAATCTTCAGCCACCAGAGCTTTATTTGAAGCAGAGTGTGACACACATTAGAGAGCTCAGCACGAGGCATTGATAATCTCTGTGATTTGCAGTGCAGACCCACTGTAGGGCCCAGGAAGACTTTCAGGTTGGACAGCATGAACCTGCCTTCAGCTGATTACATCAGCTAGGACAAGAGAAAACACACTCTGCGGCTCAGTGCCTGCAGCTCAGGCTCCTGCAGCTCCATCCTGATGCTGTCCAACCACGTTGTTATCTTTTATTGTGCTTATCAAATAACTCCTGCCACAGACCAAGGCCCTGCTGAGCTGTGCTGGACAGAGACAGAAGCAAAAGACCACCCTGTCCCCACAGAGCTTAATCCAAGTACAATATCAGACATGACAACTGCACACAAAGAAACAACACGTGAGGATATAATTCTGTAGTCCTGAATTGAATTTCATTATGAATGAAATATTGAATGTTGATATTCACTTACTTGCCTTTCGTTGTGCCTCATACTTTTTCCCAGTAGTGTTTCAGAAGTTTCCTTCTGACATTACATGATTTGTGGCTGTTTCCAAACAGGACTACAAGAGCCTATTAGCTGCACTTGTGGAAGTGTTCCACTGTTTACCTGATAGTGGAACTGTTTATTTGGCAGTGGAGAGCAGATTACTCAAACCAGAACACGAGACTAAAGCTCTCCACATACTCCAAGAGGAGTGTGAATGTCCTCATGCCAGGTGTATGTTGGAGTGAGGCCAGTTCTACCCAGATCTTAGGATAGAAGTAGTATCTCACAACAGAAATGAGTTTTAAAATGCAGGCTTAGTGCTTGGGAAAAAAAAATCAACCAAACAAAACATCTTGACAACACTAAAAGAAAAGGTTTTGCTCTATGAATTCTGGAGTTCAGTTGCTAATATTTTAAAAACATAATTCTGTCTAGAGAGGGAGAGAAAGAATTAAAAAGTTATTAATTAAATATGCAACCTTCCAGGCAAAATAAAATTTCAATACCTTTAGACCTGTCTGGGGAGAGTCTGTGATGCTGACCACAGCAGGTAGGTCACGAAAGCCCACTTGTGCTGAGATCCCTGCTGTGAGGGTGACATGATGTGTAATGAGGCATTGACTGGTCATTGTCATTGGCGCTGCTCTTCAAGGCCACGTTTTAACTGTGCATTTTTAAGAAAGGCAGATGCTTACAGAAATGGGAGCTGGCAGTGCCCATCTGCTGCTGTCAGGGCTCCTGAGGGCTCCTGTCTCTCAGGCTGCAGCCCCCTGTCAGCTGTCACCAAATTAGTGCCTGACTGCCACGGGCAGCTCCATTTCCCAGCTCACTAACTTGTGATTGGCATTTCTTGGCTCAGATGCTCAGCTGGATGTGGGAGCAGTGCTGGTGTTCTCCAGCCTGGGGATCAGCCGGAGCAGCACAGCCACCATGGCCTATCTGATGCACTCCTGCCGCTTCTCCCTGCAGGTATGTCACTGTCACAGGGCCACACAAACTGCCTCTGCACTCAGCTCTCCTGCTGAAACACACCACTGCAGTACTGTGAGACACTCTCTGTGATTCCATGCACAACATCCACCTGATGATGGAACTGATTACATGATTTGAGATTGCATCTTCTTTAGACCATTAAGGAGGTGGATTAGGTGTGATTTTGGATCTGTGAATCCTTACTCTTTTTGTTTTCCCTACTTAACTAAAGGGCTAGAAAAGCAGAGCTGTGGATACAGAACATGGTATTTATCTCCTGGATTTGAGGGAAAGAGTGGAAGCTACTGCAGTTAATCCTATCTCTTAATTCCATGGTGTTAGAGAAGTTCAGAACCCAGTGTTTGCAGGGCTCTCATTTACCATTGACTTCAGCACTGACTCCTTCCAAAATCCTTTTTTATTCCTCCAGAAGCAATCCCCTCCCACAGACACTCCTGTATAGAAATCTGCAATGGGATAATACCTGCCCAGAGGGGATGTACAGGTCACATGGCCAGCACAGGCTGTTCCATAGCTCTGACTAATGAAAGAAATGAATGAAGGATGGCTGGGGATGACCTGGATGTGCAGGAGCCTGGTGGCCTCTCCCCTGGTGCCAGGCCTTTCTCCCTTTGCATGCAACACACAGGCAGCATCTCCTGGTGCCTCCTGACAGGGAGCAGGAGAGTTCCCATGGCAACTGACCAGCCTCTCCTTAAAAACCTCACCCTTGTTTGGAAAGTTCAGGAGCTTGAAGAGATTGATCCAAACTTCACTAAAGCTGAGTCTGTATCTGATAAGGTGATTGATTTTGTGCAAACATGTCAATGTAAGAGGAAAGCTCTTGCCATGGCTGTGTGCCAGTGGGTAATTAGAGGCTGAGGGTGCCAGCAGGGCTCAGACAGGGTTCAGTCCCTGCACTAACAGGGATGTGATTGCTCCTGCAGGCTGATAACAGCCACTCACTGAATCACAGAATGTGCTTCCAATGGCAGTGCAAAAGTCAAAGCCTGAGCCTTGCCATTCCCCTCAGTTGGCATCAACAGGTTGCTCTCAGCATTTTACTAAATGCCAAAAAAAAATATTGACAGGACAGTGCTTGCCCACTGTTGGCTGGGCAAAGCTTTCCCGAGGGATCACCCTGGCAGACAAGTTTGTTTCTTGCAGACAAGAGCAGTGCAACAGATTGCTGTGTGATCCTCCAGCCAATCCAGGCAAAGATCTTTGAAAGCTTTCAAAAAAGCAAAAGCAAGGCAGAGTTGGGATGTGCAGCCCCTGATTCTGTTAGTGAGCAATATGTGAGCAGATCCATTGAGTCCAGGGGAACCAGAGACACCCTCACTGTGAACCCAGAGGAGTAAATATTGGAATATCAGCCTCAGAGCCTGCAGAATCAGCAAGATTAGAAAAACAAACCAATGGAGCACTATCTGCTGACCTTTGGTCTCATTTCCCTTAAGCAACCCTACAAGTGCAGGGGTCAAGCTCTTTTATGAGCAGGAAGATGAGCACTGACAGGAAAATGCAGGGATGGAGCTGGAGTAATGCTGGTGGATCTGCCCTGTGTGTGTCAGAGTTTCTAGGTGATTACTTGGAGCTAACAAATAATTAAGATGGCTGTAATTAATACAGTGGGATAACTGCGAGGTCATAACTGCTCTGCCACATCAGGTCACACCAATCCAAAAACGTGATAACCTTCATTGCTTTATGACCTTTATGGCTGATACTTCACTGCTTGGTCATCATCTGTGGAAGGAGCAGCATTTTAGGGTGGAAAATCCAGGATTGCATCGCTCCAGCAGAGTGGAATAGCACTCAGCAGTGAAAACAGCCTGAGCTGTCCTCGTATCCAGGAGAGCAGAGCATGAAGGGGACAGGTTTCTCTCAGGGTCACATCTGGATCCAGCCTGTCCCCACTTTGGTGCCAAACTCCTCTCTGCAGGGTCTTGCTGTCCAGCACAGGGAGCAAATACAAAGCTGTGTTGTGTGAAGTGTAGCTGCTTTGTGAAAATGCCCAAGAGTCACTTTCTGTTCAATTCCTAACACTTCTTCACTTTCCTTCTGTTTACAGAGAGCTTGGAAATACCTTCTGAAGTGCAAAATGAACATGAGACCACACCGGGGCTTTGTGGAACAGCTCTCAGCCTGGGAGACCCAAATCTATGGGTTCCCAGTCACAGACGTGTCTGAACCAAATTACTGACAGAGAACATCCCCTGGGGAAAGCCACTTCCCTTCCCCATCTGGGGAGAAAGCTACCTGCACGCTGTGTGAAAAAAGACCCAAATGTAATGGAAAAGCTTTCCTCTAGCTCCATGTCATTTTGGGTCAGGATCTGGATCTTCCTCGGGAGCTCACCTGTGCTGGAGGAGGTGGAAATTTGGGGAATGCAGATCCTGCAAGATGTGGCCCATTAGACACAGCTCGACTCTTTTGTAAGCAGAGGGGATTATAGCCACAGCTGTGGGGCAGTCAGTAGGGTTATCTCTGTAAAGGTTTGTTACCCATGGTCTGGAATAGTACATTTAGAGTCTGACAGTGCCCACTTCCAGCCCGGAGAGGTGAGAACAGAATTTCCCTGTTTCAGAAGTCCCTGCGCCCTGTGAGTGCCTTCACAGCCACCACAGCCTCTCACAGACTCACTTGATGGATTGTTGACAATTCCACCCTTCCCATTTGCTGCCTTCTAATCGCACAACCAAACCTCTGGGCAGAGGTGGTGACTTTAAACCCTCAGTGCTGTCACATGAAACCTCAACCAGTACCTGAATCAGCACCGTCCTCTCTCTTACAGCACTCCGAATTCTGTTCTTTGACATCACAAAATAAAACCCGACAGAAACCCTCCCTGGCTTTGCAGCACTCTGTGTTTGGGATTTAGCGCTGGCTTTGGGATTCTTTGGGATCGCGGTTCTCATTCGGACACGCGCTCAGGGCCGGGAGCGCGCCCGAGAGCTGCCCGAGCTGGGAGCGAGCCCGGCGCAGCTCACAGCGCCCGCTGCAGCGCAGGGCTGCGATTCCAGGGAATTCCTCATTTTCCAGGCTCCCACTCAGAGGAAAACACGGACTAAGGGAGGCCCCGCCCCGGCCCCGCCCCGGGGCGTGTCCGGAAGGGGGCGGGGCCAGCGCCGCCCGTCGCCGCGGGCCGGGCCGGGCCGGTGCCGCCGCCATCGCCGCCATGGCCTGCGGCGCCTCGCTCGCCGAGTGCCTGCGCGAGTGGGAGGAGCTGCAGGACGGCTACCAGCGCATCCAGGTACCACCGGGCCCGGGACGGACCGGCACGGGCCGGGGCAGCGCTCCGGCCGAGCGCGGCGCGCCGGGGTACCGGCACCGGGGGTGGGAGATCCCCGCAGCATCCCCAGCGGGCACGGCGGGACCGGGCTCTCCCCTCTGCACTCCGGGTGCTTTCCCCCCGTGCCCCGGCCCTCGGGTCCGAGCCGTGTGCCGGGGGCAGAGCGGTTCGGAGCAGGGCAGGGGAGCCGGGCTGTGCCGGCTCGGGCGGAGCGGGGTACCCGCCGTGATGCCCCAGCCCGCCGCGGACGTGGCGTGGAGACTCAGATGTGCCGGTTCTCCTGCTGGGAGCGGCGCTGCCTGGCGTGGCACGGCCGGCCGAGGTGCGCAGATGCTGTTTGACTCCTTATCGCTCCTGTGAGCCCGGCTCGGGGCAGCCCGGAGCCAGCCAGCCCCAGCGGAGCCGAGATCCCGGGGCGCAGGCACGCCGCAGCCCGGCGCCGTGTCCCGGCTGCCGAGCCCCGGCACCGCCGGCTGCCCGGGGCTCCGCGCCTGGAAGGTGACCGGTGTCAGAGGTGCTTCCACCTGCTTTGTGTAATCCCCAGGGCGCTGCCTGCCGGAGGAGGAGTGGGCAGGGTGCAGCTCGCACAGGGTCACCCAAGGGAAAGGTTGGCCAACACCTCCTGCTGCCGCTCAGGTCACTCGGCTGCAGCTGCACCCGTTCCCTCTCCCCCTCCTTCCCCCCGGAGCGGGGTGAAGCGGATGTTGTTGCGGGCACGTCGCTGCTGTGCCCAGATCTGGGGCAAGGGAGGCTTTGAGAAACCTCCTCTTGCTCCATAGGGTTGCGTGGATGTCCCGGGTCGCCCACTTGGAGCCCTGAGTGCAGCCACTCAGCGCCAGCCCTTCCCTCCGGACACTCCTCCCGCCCTCACTCCTCATCCAGGCTGTCTCCGATGCTGGCACGGCTAAAGGACTTGTCACAAAGCTCACAGTTAACTCCAGAGCCAGGAGGAGGTGGCTCTAGATGGCAGCAGGAAAGCTTGATGGTCAAGCAGGGAATGTCCTGGGATAAATCAGGGACATAAATCACTGCTGTGGAACCGGGACTATCTGGGATCTGTTCCCTCCTTGCCGCTGCTTGTCACCGGAGGGAGAAGGTTTCTCTCCTGTGCTCTTGGTTTCACCTTTCTCCTTTGGGAACAACTTTTAAGATCTGGCGATCAAGTGGTTGATAAGAGCTACAGAGGTTAGAACTTGTTTGTGCCAAGGTCTAGTCCAAGGGTTGTTGTGAGCAGCGTGTGGAGGTGGCACTCGGGCTGCCGTGCCGAGGTCGGGCTGTTCTCCTGCTGACCTGGACAAGCAGCAGCAGCATTGATCCAGCAGCTCTCCCCTTTCCCTACTAAAAATAGTGGAGAGATGCTCCCAGCCTATCCAGGTGTGGTTGGGTTATGGGCACTTGGCTGCAGCCCTGCTGGGAGCCCTTCCCCTTTGTCCACTCACGGACAGGCTCCTTCCAGCTTCCCAGGGGTGCTCAGGTGGAGCCCCAGAGCCACGAGCTGGGAGACCTGGAGGCACAAAGAGCTGCTCATCCTGTCCCAGCACTCAAAGCCACTGTGGTACCACAGTTGTACCCTGGCCCACCCAAGTTTTTCCTGTCTGCTGTGTGCAGTCATTGGCGTCCCAAGCATGGGAACATCCTGTGGATAGGCTGCTTGGCACTGGGGCTGGGCATCCCCATGGAAGCAGGGCTGGCTGCAGGCTGTCCCCAAACACACCTGGCCTTCTGCAGCCACCCCTCCTCTCACTCAGCAGCAGCACGGGTGAAATTGAGAACATTTTTTAACAAAAGCATCACAGAGGCCCCAAGGACAGGGGTGTCTGGGCAGGCAGCTCTAACGTGTGCTGGTCTCTTTCCCAGGACAACCACAGGCTGTACAAGCAGAAACTCGAGGAGCTGACCAAGCTGCAGGATGGGATCTCCAGCTCCATCGCCCGGCAGAAGAAGCGGCTGAAGGAGCTGTCGCTCTCCCTCAAAAAGTGAGTGACACTTGTGCTCTGTGACAGCAGGGGAGGGGAGAGCAGCAAGGACGGGGCTGCTGAGCCCCCTTCATGCCTCAAATGCAAACCTCTCTGCAGCCAGGGGCTGTGGGGAGGCTGTTCTTCCCCAGCCCCCCTTGCCTGTGCCCTGTCTGCAGTTCAGAGCTTGCAAGGGTTTTGTGGGTACCATGAACTGCTCCCCTCCTGCACACAGCTCTCCCCATCCCTCCTAAGGGTGAGAGACCCATCTGGCCTCACCTCGCTCCCTTCTCTTGAGCAACATCATGGCCTGACAGAGGAGCTTGCCCTGCAGTTGTGGACTTTCCTCCCATCCATCTTCCCTGTCCTTGGGGTGTCCTTGCCCCAGTCAGTCACTTGTGGAGTGGCAGCACGTGCTGGTCGTGTTACAGAGGCTCTCCTGGTGCCAGTGCCTGTGTTTGCTCCCCAGATGCAAAGGCCAGGCGACTCCCGAGCAGGAAGCATCCATCCAAGAGACCCAGAGCCTGATTAAAGAGAGGCAGAACGTGTTCTTTGAGATGGAGGCCTATCTGCCAAAGAAGAACGGGTGAGAAGGCACCTCAGCTCTGGGAGGGTCACCAGGGCCACCCTCCACATCCCTGTGGCTGTAAGGCTGCAGGCACAGACCCAGAGCTGTCACCCTGCGCCCAGCGGTGTCACAGCTGTCCTGCTCCACTTGGGCTCCCCAAGGACACCTGGGCAGGAGCCAGCAGTGCTGCCCCTCACTCCTGTGCCTGCTCGTGGCCATCACCCACCCCTGCACAGTGGTTGTGCCCGAGGAGAAGCCCTGGTGAACACCCCCGTGCCTGTGGGAGGTGGGGTGTGTGCTCCCCCACCCGTCCCCTTGCCCGTGGGAGGGGATTCCAGAGGGTTTGTGCCTGCCAGCTCCGAGTGGAAGCACCTGGGGGCTCATCCCTGGCCCCACTCGTGGCACAGGAGGGGACAGCTCCACAGGCAGGTCCTTGTCCTAACGCTCTGCTCTCTCCCCAGGTTGTACCTGAGTCTGGTGCTCGGCAATGTGAACGTGACACTGCTCAGCAAACAGGCCAAGTACGGCCCCTCCTCGCTGCTCCTCTGATTTTCCTGACTTGGCATCCCCTTGGCACCAGGAACAACAGCTCCTCCCAGGCAGACACGGGGCTGGCTTGGCTCACCTGGTGTAGATTCCCTTCCTGAGCTGTTTTCTGCATAATTCCCAAGAATCAGCCAAATCCTTGGCTCCCCCTCACATTCCTGCTGCTGGGCTGGGCTGGACCATTAGCTCTGAGAAGTTAATGGGATCCTCCACCGAAGCCATGTCCGTGTTTCCACTGTATTAGGAACTTGCAGGAAAGACAGACAGTGGCTGGTCCCCTCCTCTTCCCTTGGGGAAGCACCAGAAGTTGGTTTTGGCCCCTCAGAGCCTTTCCCTTGCCAGAGATGCCCAGCCAGGAGCCACTCCCTTCTCCCTCTGTTCCCCAATCCTCCCCTTGGAGACGTGTGCACATCCCAGTCTCCCCCACCAGGGCCGCCCCCCAAGGCTGGGGTAGTTTGGGGTGCTCAGATGTGTCCCAGCTGTGTGAAGCAGCCTGGTGTACTCTGCTCTCAGAAATACCCCCAAGGCAAGGTTCTTCCTGAGTGTCTCCCAGAGGTTCCCTACAGGACATCACTTTTCCCAGCCAGATGGGATGGGAGGACACAGATTTCCAGCAGCCCCTTGCTCCAAGCCTGTCCTTGTGCTTCCCTGCAGGTTTGCGTATAAAGATGAGTACGAGAAGTTCAAGCTCTACCTCACCATCATCCTACTCATTGTCTCCTTCTCCTGTCGGTTCCTCCTCAACTCCAGGTGAGTCTGGCTTGGTGCTGGGCAGAGATCTCCTCCCAGAGCCCTCTTGCCCTTCTCTCCCATCCTGGAATATCCAGGGCTGAACAGGAGATCCTGCTAAAGCACCTGGAGGTGGGGTGGCCTTTGTGGCTGCGTGGCCATGGTGGGTGGTGGGGAGCTCTTGGAACCCAGGACATCCCTCTGGCTGCCCTGGATGGCTCGAGACCTGGGCAGGGGCTCGGGAGTCCTGGCAGGAAGCCAAAGACACTTGGGATTTCGATTTTAACCCATGGAGCAAATTATTGAACTTATATGAAGAATCACAAGTCACAGAAGTTTAAATAGAGTAATAATGAATTATTTTAATTATTTGAAATAAATTCATTGAAAATTGAGTTTTGGGGATTTTATTATAGGGGATCTAGGAGGCAAGATGGAGAGACATGGGTATTGTTCCATGCTTCTTCCTTCTTGCTAGCCTCCATCTTCTTGGTGATGGTGGCACATTTAGATTGGCCTAAAGTATAAGTAGACAGTCTAACAGTATAAGTAGTCTAGGTGATAGGTATTGGAAAATAATGATAAATAAAGCATATGTAACTCGTAGTATAAAATGTAGATACCAGCCCAGGGGTGGGCAGTGTGCCCTTGACAGACCTGCAGATCAGACCTCTGTGGGTCTGAGAGAAAATATTTTAGATAATAGATAATAACCAACCTTGTGAACCAGAGCCGAAGAATTCCGACTCTTCGGCCGTCGGGCTGGAAAAAGGGACTCTGGGGTGATCCCGAAAGCAGAAAACCCCAGAGGGAGCAGGTCCCTTCCCTTGGGGAGAGTCCCACGGGCTGTCACCGTGCCTGTGCCCCCAGCCCGTGCCTTTACACCTGCTCTGTGACCCAGGGTGACAGACGCCGTCTTCAACTTCCTCCTGGTGTGGTACTACTGCACCCTCACCATCCGCGAGAGCATCCTGATCAACAACGGCTCCAAGTGAGTGCCCTGGGCCCGGGGAGGGGCTGGCTCCTCTGCAGGGCTGGGGGAGCAGCTCCCTCCCACTCAGGTGTGTGGCAAACCCTGCTGGGAGCTGCAGGAGCGGGGCAGGAGGATCCTCCCGAGCGGGGGCGGCGCGGAAAGGTGGAGCTGGAAGGGCCCTGGTGCTGCCCAGCCCCGAGGCCCTGGTCCTGCTCTGAGGCATTTCCCAACCAGCCTGGGAGCTGTGGGGTGGCTGGGGCTGGGCTGCTCCACTCTGCAGGCTGCCTTTGGCTCTGGATTCACGCTCCAGATGTGACAGTGCTTCTCTGTGTCTGCCCTCCAGGATCAAAGGCTGGTGGGTTTTCCATCACTACATCTCCACCTTCCTCTCAGGTGTCATGCTGACGTGGTAAGTCTGTGTCCCCTGTCCCATGGTGGGGCTGCCTGGGCTGTGGGACTGGCAGGGCTGGCTGTCCCCTCCCAGCCCCACGTCCCCCAGCCAGCACTGTCTCTCCACAGGCCAGATGGGCTCATGTACCAGATGTTCAGGAACCAGTTTCTCTCCTTCTCCATGTACCAGAGTAAGTGCTGCCCCGGGTGCTGGGACAGGGACTGACCCCCGGGTGCTGAGAGTGCCTGCAGAGCTCTGCAGCACGTGGAGACCTGGCTGCAGCTCTCAGCTCACCTGGCAGTTCCCTTGGCCTCGTGGCATGATGCTGAGGCTGGAAGGTGATCCCTGGGCAGCTCCTGACGTGCTCTCCCTGCAGGCTTTGTGCAGTTCCTGCAGTATTACTACCAGAGTGGGTGCTTGTACCGGCTGCGAGCGCTGGGAGAGAGGCACAACATGGACCTGACTGTGGGTGAGTGGTCTCAGGCTGGTGCTCAGCTCACTGGGAGCTGTGGGTTCTACTGAAGGAAATGGCAACACTTTGATTTGAGGTCACTTTCAGCAGTGGCAGGGATAGAAAAAGCTCTCAGTCAAACCAAAGCTCCCTGAGCAGCATCTCCTGTGGGGCAACACCACCCCACAGGATGATTGTCCCCCTCCTCCTGCTCTTCTGGGACCACCAGCCCACAGCTGGCTCCCTCAGGATGTGAGGTGGCAGTGGATGTGGCTCTGGGCATCCCACGTTTGCCCAGGAAGCTCCTTCAGACATGACACATCCCTCCACACCCCAGGCACTGTGGGCTGTCACCTCCCCAGCCCCTGTGACACCGAGGGCAGGAGCTGAGGGCCAGCTGCACTGGAGCCCAGAGCCCTGTGCTGGATGAGGAATCCCTGCCACTGTCCCCTGCAAGTGCCCACAGTGAGGCTGGAATGGCAGGACCTGCTCAGCCAGGCACGTGTGGGCACTGAGCCTCCCTGTCCTCCGCTGGGCTCCATCCCCTCTCCACCAGCCCATTCCAGGTTCTCACAGAAACCTTCATCCTTTGCAGAGGGCTTCCAGTCCTGGATGTGGAGAGGCCTCACGTTCCTGCTTCCCTTCCTCTTCTTTGGGCAGGTGAGGCTGCCCCATTCCTTGCAAGATGCCAGAGCCTCGGGTGGGAGCAGGATGTGCCACATTCCCAGCTGTGCTCGGCGGCCTGGACATGGCACAGACCCCACAGGCTGCCACAGCCATGTGATGGGGGATGCCTGGGGCAGGGAAATGCTTCCAACAAATGCTGAGCCTCTCCCTCCAAAGCACCCACCACAACTGGGGAAGTGAGGTGGGGAGGGGCTGGGGTGCTTCTGCTGGGTGCTGTGGTGGGAACCCTTCCAAAGCCTTTCCAAAGCTCTCCTGAGCTCCAGCTTTGAGCTGCTGCCGAAAGGATCGAGTCCTTCCTTGGTCAGATTGTTGAGGCTGATGGACAAGGCTGCTCTGAGGCCCTCGGGCTCCAGCTGGCCTGAAACAGGGGGAATGTCCCAGCTGGGGTCCTCTGGGAACGAGCCCTCTGTCCCTGAGCCTGGGTGGGGTTTCTCTGCCCCACACGGGGTCTGTGTGGGGTTTGTACCCAGAGGGAGCAGCGACAGGCACCAGCCTGGGGCTGAGCCTCTGAAAGCAGCAGCAGCTGCCCTGAATCTCCTTCCTGCAGTTCTGGCAGCTCTACAACGCCATCACCCTGTTCCGCATGCTGCAGCACCCCGAGTGCAAGGAGTGGCAGGTAAGGAGCTCCGGGAGGGCCCTGGAGGGGGCCCCAGGCAGGTCCCTCCTGCTCACTCCGGCCTCTCCTCCCACAGGTCCTCATGTGCGGTCTCCCCTTCTCCATCCTCTTCCTGGGCAACTTCTTCACCACCCTCCGTGTCGTCCACCAGAAGATTCAGAACAAGAACCAGGACACGAAGGAGAACTGAAGTGGGGCACTGTGGGGGCCTGGACTGTTTCTGCCCACTGGCTCCATCCCCTATCCCCTTCTCCTCAGTTCCGTCCGGACTCTGGCGTCTCGTCCCATTCCTTGGAGGCCTGGGTGTGGGACAGAGCTTGGGGCCTGCTCCTGGACAGTCCCTGTGCTCAGGAGTCACTCACCTGGAGGCAGGAGCACCCTGCACCTCCTGCCCTGGCTGCCTTCCACATCCAAGCAGCAGGATGCTTGGGCCAGCCGCTCCCCCCCTTTCACTGGGATGTTCCCTGGCTGCTGGTGCTCCTCACTGGGACAGGGCAGCATCCAGGGACTGCCTCCCGCAGCTCCTGGGGTGCTGGAGGCTCCCCTTTTCCCCCAGCCCTGCAGCCAGGGCAGCCCCTGTGTGCTGAGGGCAGAGGCCCTCCAAGGGCAGCTGGGGCTGTGCACAGCCCTGATTCCAGGGCTGCCCCAGCTCCTCCCTCGCCTTCAATCCACAGGGAAGGGGTGGCTGGGGCACGGGAGGGGTGGGAGCAGCAGGAGCTGGGGCTGTGCAGGCTGCAGCCTGGGCTGGCAGCTCCTGAGGCTGCAGATGTGAAAATAAAGGGAAGGAGCTGCCCCGGGTCACCGGGACAGTCTGGGAACTGCTCCCACACTCTGCTCTGTGGCTTTGGTTCAGCAGGAAGGGGGGTCCTGACACAACCTCCCTGAAAGGAGGGTGGAGGTGGGGGGCAGTAGGACAATTGTTACAGTAGGACAAGAAGAAACAGCCTCAGGTTTCACCAGCGGAGCTTTAGGTAGATATTAAGGAAAATATCTTCACAAAAAAGGGTTGTCCAGCCCTGACAGAGGCTGCCCAGAGAAGCTGTGGAGTCACCATCCCTGTAGGGATTTAAAAGCCATGTCGATGTGGCAGCTGGGGACATGGTTGAGTGGTGGGTTTGGTAGTGCTGGGTTGTGGGTTGGACTCAATGATTTGGAGGGGCTTTCCAGCCTAAATGAGCCCATGATTTTATGAAAAGTCATCTCCCTGTGCCCTTCCATCAGCCTGAGCTGCAGGGGGTGCTCCTTCCCATGGCATCCCCGTCTGCACAGGCTGTGGCCACCCAAGGAGCCCAACAGAACCTCAGTGTCCCTGGAGTGGGGAAGAGACCCCCTGTACCAGCTGTACCAGCACCGGGAGCTCTGGAAGAACCAAAGAGCAGGTTGGGCACAGCTGCACCCCAGTCCAGAGCCCCCACTGCCATCCTCCCTCCCCTCCACAACCCAGCACTCAGGGTAAGGGCTACCCAGAGCTGCCACCACATCCCCAAATTTCCTCCTGGTTATCATCCATTGCTCCTCCTGCCTCCTTCTTCCCTCTGGCTGAGCAGAGAGAATGCAGGAAGCAAACTCCAGACACAGGATTTTTATTCCAAGGGCAAATGTATTTAAATAATTTACAATCATTGGACAGCCTGGAAGTCTGGGGTTTCTGTTGTTTTTTTTTTTTTTTTGGTTTTTTTTTTTCCATGCTTAAATCACAATGTTCAAAATAAAAACCGTATTTAAAAAATGACCGTACATGATGTGAGGGAAGGGCTGGGCTCAGGGGAGCAAGCAGGGCCCCCATGGGCTGAGACCCCACCTCCCAACCCGGGTGAATCCACAGGGAGAGGAGCTTCCCGCTGGTGTTGGAGCGAGGGCGGGCAGCAGGAATGGAGCAGGATATGCTGGTGGGGCCATGGGACAGCTCTGTGCCCAGAGCCAGCTGCCAGCCCCACATCCCAGAGCTGGGCAAACAGGAGGGAGGCAAAGCTGCAATCCCAGCCTCAGCACAGCCCCTCCACCCCTCTGCTGTCCCTGCAGGCCAGGGTGGGCTCCAGCCCCGGGGATAAGGCAACACCTCGTGTGCAGGGAAGGACTCCCTGGCAGTGTCTGTCCCTCCTGCCCCACAGTGGCTGTGTCCCTGATGGCCCTGGCCTCAAGGCAAACGCTGGTGCCATGGGGTGCACCCTGAGGTGCCGGTGACACCGCAGCTCCTGGACAGCAGCCTGAGCTACCCCCCTGCCCCTCTCAACCCTTTCCACCCCCTGGGTGCACAGCCCAGGGGCTGCAGAGGCCCAGGAAGGGTTGGGAGTGACACCGGGGTAGCCGTGGGCTGGGGACAAGACTGTCACCCACAGCAGCAGTGAGCGAGCAGGCACCTGCCAGCTCCCCTGGCCCACGCCTGGGGACCTGTTCTCTCCCTGGCCCCGCCAGCCCCGCTCTTAGCTCCACACATCCAGGGAGTAGCGGCCCTTTGTCATCAGTTTCTTTACATAGTCCACGGCCTGGGGCTGGCTCATGTTCCCAAACTCGGACACGATCTCGTAGAAGGTGTTCTGCACGTCCCGGGCCATGTTCCGGGCATCGCTGCAAACAGGGAGTGAGTGAGACACCAGAGCACAGCCACAGAGCCCTGCCACCTCCCACACACACCCCCCAGCCCCCTGCCCTCCTCAGAACCAGGACAGCATGACCCTCCCAGGGCTTGTAATGCACAGCTGGGGAAACTGAGTCACACTCCTTTTCCTGAGAATTGCCCCCAAATCCCCATCCTGTCCCCAACTTACCCACACACATAGATGTGAGCCATCCCCTCATTAACCAGCTTCCAGACGTTCTCCTTGTTCTTCTTCAGTAAGTGCTGGACATAAACCTGGCAGGAAACAAGGTGGGAGTGAGGAGAGGGGAGCAGAGCCCCCACACCACAGACCTTTGAGAGGGAGGCAAAGCAAGGCTGTGCTCATGGCTCTGGGAGACAGGGCAAGTGCTGGGTGCTCCTGCCTGCCATGGGAGTGATGGTGGGCAGCTGGCAGGAGGAACAGTGTGGTACCTTCTCAGCCTGGTCCCTGGAGAAGGCCACGTTGAGCTGGGTGAGGACTCCCTCCTTCTGGAAGCGGGCCAGCTCCTCCCGGTACAGGTAGTCCTCGTGCTCGTGGCGGCAGCCGTAGTAAAGCACTGTCTCACCCACCTCCTTGCCTGCAGGGTCACACAGCCCCCATCAGCTGGGCCCTGCCAGCCCCAGCCCTGCCCCTTCCCAACCTCCCCTTGTCCTGACACCCCCAGCAGCCCCCAACCCTGTGCTCTCCCCCACCCTGGGCTTGCAGAGCTGCACGATGGTTACAAGGGGAAGCTCAGGACTGATTCCCAGTAGTGGCCACAAGCTTTAGTATTGAGTCTGAGTGACCAGACTGATTATTTGGAGGTGTGGTGGTGGCAGAGGTCAGAGAAGTGCCCTAGGTCTGACCACCCCCAAACATCCTCTGCGGCCAAGAGAAGGACAAAGAACCTTTGTGTGAACAAAACCACTCAGCCCGCCCCAGCACTCTGCTTTTGGCTGGGCCCACCAGCAACAGGAGCAGCAAAGCTGCACCCTGGAGGCACCAGTGCCCCCCCAGAGTCCTGCAGAGCTCCAGCCCCTGGGCACTCACCCTGCTGCTTGAGCCAGGCCCGCTCCTGGATGAAGCCGACGAAGGGGGCGATGCCGGTGCCCGGCCCGATCATGATCACGGGCGTGCTGGGCTTGAAGGGCAGCCGGAACTGCGACTTGCGCACGTACATGGGCACCAGGGAGCTGCTCCCGTCCTGGGCAGGCACCTTGCTCCTCAGCCAGTTGGTGGCCACCCCTTTGTTCAGGCGGCCCGTCTTGGTCTCGTACTCCACCGTCACGGCACAGATGTGGATGGAGTTGGGATGGACCTGCAGGGAAGAGATGCTGGAACCAGGCAGAGAAGGAGCCCCAGCAAGCCCACACTGCATCCTTGTGCCCAGGAATGTGGGAGAAGTTTAACCTCATTTTAATGTTGGGACAGCTATTCCTCCCTGTGTGCTCCTCATGGGGCTTCTGTCTTGTCCTGAACTCAGCAGGGACCACTGAGCTTCCCTGGAGGTTGCCAAGAAGGACTTTTGACCAGCCCCTAAAATGCCCCCTTGCCAGGCAAACAGGCAAAGAGGAGCAGGGCTCCAGAGAGTGTGGTGGTATCAGGCCACAGCTGGCTGCAGCATGGCACTCTCACAGACCCTGTGGGAACCTGGGCTAACTCCATGCATGGAGAGCAGTAAATCTACCCTCTCATAGCAAATGTCACCAGGAGAACCCCCCATGCCCAGCTCCCAGCTGAGAGGAGCTGCAGCTGAAGAGGTCCCTCCACAGCCACATTCCCTGCTGGAAGCACACCCACCTTGGAGGAGGAGGCAATGGAGTAGTAGCGGGCCTGCAGGCGGGGCAGGAGCTCGCACAGGTGGTCGATGGGGGGGCGCAGGGAGGGCATGTCCTGCAGGATGGCCAGGATGTTCCTGCGGGCCTCCACCACCCAGCTGAGGTACAGCGCCTGCAGGCAAGGAGAGCACAGGCATCACAACGGCTGGCAAACACCCCCTCGGCTCTCTGGGTGCCTTTTGGGGATCCCCCAGCCCAGCCCAGCCCAGGTGGGAAGGGCAGGGCTCCCACCTTGCCCTCAGCAGCAGATGAGGCCATTTTGCGGAGGCGCTCCTGCTCGCCGGCGTCCGAGGCGTACTGGGCCAGCTCGTAGAGGACGTTGGTGCGGGGAGGGTTGGTGATGTCCAGGTAGTAGGTCAGGGCTGTGCGGTACGACGTGGGGCAGGGGAAGGGATGCTTCTTGTTGGATTCCTCTGGAGAAGTGGGAGAGAAAGAAAAATTAAAAATCGTCCACCTCATGCTGTTGTGTTAAGAGGTTTTGTGCAGGCTGCTACGCACACGGCGAGGGCTGGAGACAGAGCACAGTGGGTTTCAGGGAGGAGAGAGCCTGTGGGTCAGAGCCCCAGCTCCACAGTGAATAACCACCCTCCCCAGGCAGCTCCATCTCCCAGCAGCCCATTTTGTGTTTCATAGATGCTGCCTGACAGTTTAGCAGCAAAAAATACACCCTGTGTTCCCCAAGGGCTCCCTGCCCCAAGATGTGCATGCACAGTCCAGCAAACCCCCAGGCTAAGCAGGGGGCTGCCCTCCACAGCTAATTTGGCCACAGGCACTTACACCTCCATCAGATCTGGCCTCAAGAATGTCCTTAGGCTCTGTCAGCCACATACAGCTGTGCCAGCAGTCAAGGCTGGAGCCATTCTGTTCAGCCTTGAGAGGTCCGTAAGGGACAGGAATGACAGCACAGGACACTGCACAGGGGGCCACAGGCTCCAGCAATGCCTTAAATCCACTTTGTCTCTAGGAACCAGGAGCTCTCTCAGGCTTCTGGGCCAGCACATCTGCTGCCCAGGTCTGGCTGTGCTATTCTAGGACTGTGATGGGCAGCAGCTGCCATCTCCCTCCTGCCAGAGGCTGGCTCTGCTGGGAATGCTACCCAGGAAGAGCTCTTTGGATCAACACAAGTGCTCCCTGCTGGCAGTTCAGTCCCCAAGCCTGTGCCTCTTCCCAGGACTGAATAAGAGCATCTCACACACTCAGGGCCCTGAGGAGCTCCGGGGCTGCTGAAGGATGCTCTGGTGGGCTGATGCTCTGTAATTAGGAGTGTGCTGTTACATAATTTGTTGTTGAATGGGCTCACCAAGCACATTTCACAAGTGACCCACTTCAGCTTATCTCAGCACACAGGCTCTGAGCCCCTCTAAAACAGCACAACACTGAGAGGGGCTGTGGGACATCTGGAGGTGCCCCAT